CGTACCGCTGGCTGGACGAAATTCTGAAATGTCTTTTCTACATTTAACAATCGTTTTATCATGGGAAAAAATTCTTCATTTGTAGAAACAATTCTGGTGGTGGACAAACAATAATCTATAAATATAACTTATATTCTCTGTTCTCATGACTGTTTTGCTCCCCACGTAAACAATATTCACTTTCTCCAAAATACGGAAAATAAAGATTGAATTGAACTTTTTTCAAACGCTGAAAATCTACACTTATGATCTCGAAAGGCGAGACACATAATATAATTGTGCGAGCAACCTACGCCCGCCGAAGGTTGACCTAAATTATACAAGTGTCTCGCCCGAGAGATTACCCACCCAAAAAAATAGTAATTAACTATATTACCCCAAGAGAAAAGAAATGATAATAATAACAATAACGTTAATAATTTACCATTTTCTTGTTCACAAAAATGAAAAAGTAATGGAAAATTTCAATTTCAGTTATTGGGCTCTAAAAGAATGTGAACGACTGACAGAAACCAACAGGACATCGCAAATCCAAAAATAACTATAAGGCATAACTAACGTTACTACATTTATAATCTCTCGGGCGAGACACGTGTATAATTTAGATTACAATTGCACAATTTTACGACGAAGATTTTGCAAGACATTTCCCTCGAATGATTCGTATGAACAAATTCTTTCAAGTTCATTTTTCCTATGAACGTATTTATTTTTTCAATATTCATATTGTAATAAATTATATTGTAACATAAGAAAGTTTTTGCAGCCTACTAAAGTCCTGCGGGGTGACAGCGGCCGCGGCTCCCCCCTAAACGGCTATCCCTTTGGCCCTTCATCGGAGGAAAGTCTCACATGCCATCCATTCGAGAAAACCAGATAACGAGAAAAATCTCGTTACAAATGGTCGGCCCAACACCAATGAAATTTACATAAGAATCCAATAGAATTTCACGAAAATACAAAACTAGGACTATTTATTGGATTTTTCATCTGTAATCATTTTTCAATTATTTTTTCCCGGTCACTCTCTGCGGGCAATTATTTTGATTCTTTTCTGCAGTAGTTATGGGATGGATAAAATGAAAACAAGTCAATAAGACACGAACTGATGGAATGCAAATACTTGTTTCCGTGCTGTTTTAAGTTAAAAAATCTTTTAAACTTAAGTAAGACCAAATGTTAACCAAAATTCGAAAACCTTTCCACCCGTGTTTTTCAATTCATGTACTACCGAAGTTTTTAATCTGGTCGCATTCATCAAACAGAATTTCCTGCGCAAGTTGATATCAAAAGACATGAACAATCGATATTTTCCATCAATGGAAAAAACATCAAGAACAATATTGATATTTTTCTATCAAAAATTAAAGTTTTTGCGCGTTGACTGACATAATGATACCGCATCTATGACTCAAGCATTTGGTCTCCCCACTTTGACTACCTGTGCAATACAATAGGACCTGTTGTTTGTGGTCATTGGCGGATTCGGGGTTGCGAGCTCGGTGAGCGCCCAGAGCTCATTTTACCCGCGCCTGCTCTAGACCATGCGATTCATTCTAACCAGAACAACTCCGCAGAGATTTACCCATACATAGCGATAAGAGGGGAACTAGCGACAATCTCGCATCGATAGGATGACAGAAATCATGGGAGGATGAGGGAAGAGGTAGTCTTTTTTAGTCTTTTAGTGGTTTTTAGACGGTTCCTACAGAAGTTCGGGAAAGTGCAACGAGCCTCACAGCCATTTTACACTCGGACTTGTCGGCCGCCTAGTTCACAGGTGCCAGTATGTTGGCCCTTGGAGAAAACTCATAGAGCCCCTTTATACCGTCCCGCTCAACATACTTTTCCTTGATGTAAGTGGTCCCAAAGGACCCACGAAGTCCCATCGGACCTCGTCAAAACCACTGCATTTAGGGCCTAGGTGGTGCCGGTTTTCCTCCGCTAGTCCACATTTCGGGCAGGTAAGATCACTTCCTCTGTCTATTTTCGTCAAGTATGAGGCTAAGGACCAGTGACGGGTGATAAGCCCGACCAAGGACCGAAACTTTATCCTATTCAGGCTTACCAGCGTCTCCGCTAGCTTCTTTGCAGGTCCGCGCAGAAGAGTCCTCGTGTGTTTGGCGCCCTTCCGGTGTAGTATGCCCTCCTTCCTGCTAGTCATGAGCAAATCCATATCGTCTGCGTATCCAATGGCGTCCACCTCCAATTTCTCGATTCAAGCGATGAGCCCGTCTACAACGAGGAGCCACGGCACAGGCGAGATCACTCCTCTCTGCGGGCAGCCCCACCCCACTAGCGCCCTGACCGTTCTGTCCCCGAGAGAGGAGTGGACCAACCTAGTTCGGAGCATGGCAGCAATCTAACTTATGATGGATGTTTCTTTCCGAAAGGAGACCGCCGCACTCACCATAAGTCCAAAGGAAGTGTCGTCAAAGGCCGCCTCTATGTCAATAAAGACAGCGAGGGCATCCTTTTCCCTTTCCTATGCTTTTTCTATTCTAGCAACCAGGGTGTGCAGTGCGGTTTCAGTTGATCTGCCCGACTGGTATGCGTGCTGCGAGGGGCTAATGAGATTTATTCCCAGCACTCCACCTTTACTGTGCCTTTCAACCAGCTTCTCCAAAGTCTTCAGTAGGAAATAGCCCGGTTTAGGAATAAACACAAACCTGACCTCCCGCCATCTTCTTGGGACACGTCCGAAAGCCAGACATGTCCTTACGGCTGGTAGCAGCTTGTGCAGAAGCTCCCCCACTCCCCCACTCCGCAGACAACAGGGTATATACCAACGCGTCTACCGCCCACCGCAGCCTGTCGAACGTCACAATCTCCGAGGCCAGGCCCCAGTTCGGCCTGCCCTAGCCTGGGCGTATCCTGTTCAATCCAGAGGCCATTCCCTCCCCCTGTATAACAGAGTCGGCGAAGTGCACCTGGATCAGATGTTCCAGTATTTCATCTGGCTGGGCGATAGCAGCACCATCAGGTAGTATGATTCCACCCAAGCCTTGTGTTGGTCCGCCGGAGAAGACCCTGTGGAGCCTAGCCACCTGCGACAGTGTCTCCAGTTGCTCGCCGAAACTCTTCCATGCTGACTGTTTCGATTTTTTGATAAGATTTTCAAATCCCCTCTGACCTTCCTATACTGACTCTAGTCCTCATCGCTTTTGATGCGGTACGTTCAGCCAGGCCTCTCTGTCTCCCAAGTTCCCGGTTCCACTACTTAACTTTACTCCCACCCTGCATGGTCTAATGGGACATGCCTGGTGGAATGACTCAGTTGGGGCTGTGTGGATTCTCTCCACCTCGTCCTCTAACGTCTCGACGTTGCTAGGCCTCACAAGTTCGACATCCAGCCTTTCCTCCCGTTCCCTCCTGAAAGAGCTCCAGTCAGTGGCCTTGGAATTTCTTCGTGTAAGTCCCTGCGCGATTGCAGCAATGCCTTGAATTACAAACTTGATGCACCGGCGATCGGAAAGTGACTTCTTCTGGTCCACCTTCCAGTTCTCGCACCGGTGCACCAGTTTGCGATCACACAGCGTCACGTCAATGACACACTGGCACCTCTGGAGGTAACAGATCGGTCCCGGGTTCAAATCCCGGTCTAGACTATCCATTTTTTCCGTAATTTTTCTTGTAAAAATTATATTGAGAATTATCCTGTTCCACTTCCTACCCAATCCAAAATCCTATTCAACGACTCCTTTGACGTCACAAAAATGTGGAACGCTATAAAAACTTCCCCTCTTCTATAGGACTGGACCCCCTGTTTAGGATCACTACCTCCACGTCTGATATGTACTCCAACAGGGCTGTTGTCCCGGTATAACTTTTACTGCTCCCCCATACAACATGCTGCGAGTTTGCATCGCAGCTTATGATGAGCCACATATTTTCAGACCTACAGTAACTAACAAGTTCCTGCAGTCCTCTAGTGGGTGACAGCTCCGCGGAGTCATGAGGGAGAACGCCAAACAGAAGACAATGCCCTCGACCGATCCCTCGCATGTATCCGCACCATAACCACCACCAGATCCCTGTGACAAAACTTCGCCATCTCCCTGGACCCCTTGCGCCACCTATCTTGCATGGTTAGGCCTCCGATGGTCCCTATTTCCACAAATACCTCTTTCGACCCTTCCATCTCGACCACTGTTGCTTTCTGGATCCCTGTTGGAGTCACGGGCGCATCAGTGGTCGCCTCCCCAGGGGCCTCTGATATTGCCTCAGAGAGGACACCATCTTTGGCGTCAACAAAAGTATTAAAGTTGGGCCTGTCCATACGCGTCCCACGAGAAGCCTAGAAAAGAAAGGTCCACCCCAGCAGAGCCCACATGCTGGGATAAGGAATGAATACAATGGGGTGCTGTCTGGTACCCCACGGGTATTGTAAGCGGCACTGTTCCCTAGTGTCATTCAGCCATTGGCACGATAACTCCCACCTTAGCTTGCGGAGTTGGTCTGCGATGATCTTTTAGAGCGTCCAATAAGGGTTTCAACTCCCTGTTCGCTCCTTAGCTGTCGTTGGCCAGGGGTAAAACGGCCAGTTAAGTAGAGAAAGACGAAATATATCAATGAATCGCATAGTGCTGGTAACAGAATAGAGGCGATCACAGGCAAAGTAAATAGTCGAAATGTACCGCAATATTCCATTTGCCCCACATTATAATCCACGATCGATAAAAATTAGTTATTTTATTTTATCCCGTTGTATAACATAGTCCAATCTCTGGCGCTTTTTACCGTGTCCACTGCAAGTATACCGAATGTGCATTGAAAAAAATTGGTCATGGAATGACTAAACCTTTTGAAGGTGGACTTTACACTACCAGCTTCAGTCAAATTTTGACTTGCGAAAAATCAGTCTGTTTAATTTCCCGACACTGTGCGAGAAATTTATGGTGTATTTAAGGTAGAAATTTCATCAGTAAACAATACCATAACTCGACTTATGATATGTTCATGGTAACTTTTTTTCCAATTTCTTTCCTGCACAGCATGTCATGTTTTATCTCTTGTTTTATAGAATTCAGGAGCCATTCGCCCTCTTTGATGAGCTTTATGATAAACCGTGGTTGAGAGCTGGTCCCTATTTCATTGGGGCAATAACAGGCTGGACATTGTTCAAGACCAATTGCGACCTACGAATGCCGGTGGTAAGAAAAATAATTTCAACAACAAAATTAATTTAAACATATACGAAAATTTTTTAGTAATCAGCTATTCCCTCCAACACCGTAAGGAAATCGGATATGATTAGTTAAGTCGTCCACCATTATTCCCGTTCAAAATCATTCGGATGACCTTCTAGAGCTGGGAGGTTGAAGGGAAGACAGGAATCCACGTTATAACTTGGTGGAGGAAATGAAAAACGCTCTATTATATCTGTAAAAACAGCACTCCGGGGACGTATTTTATCCAAATCCGCGCCGAACGAGTCAGTTTTGATGAAAAATGTTGCTAAATTACTTTCCAGCGTGTGTAGCAGATGTTACTTTATGTTATGAGTACCGACAAACCGTGTATTGTTATTGTCCAAGAGACGCAAGTGAAAAGGCAGGTGATAAACGGCCACTTACCTCCCTAGAGCAATAAAGGTACAAGATTAGAGCGGGCCGAGTGATATAAAATTGTGTTTTCGTCGCATTGTATTATATGTTGATTGACAGATTTCGATGTGATATTCAAAATTTGTTTCGATTTTCTCAATTTCTTTGAATCGGTTACTTCTTATTGTGATAATGTGCTGAATTCAGCATTTAAGATATTCATCATTTTACACTGTCGGAATGTTTTATTGTTAATTGGGAGTTGTCCATTGGATTACAGTTAGGCATCTTATAACAGTTCTGGTGATTATTGAATATTCATCAAATTCCGATTTAGTTGTCTGGTTTTCTTCATTTTTCGTTGAGTAATAACGGTTCTTGTTGAAATTTGATCTTGTCATGTGTTATTCTGGAATCAATATTTTTATATACAAAAGTGTGAGGCGACATTGTTCATTTAGTAACGTTTATTGTTGCTTTTTTTTGAAAACCTTTGGACGATGGGATTTAGTGTCAGGAGTCAAGGGTTAACACGGATTTACACCTGCTATTCGACGATTGAATTGATGGATATTGGACGATACATTTGGACGATACATGCCCATCACAGCAGTGTTTTCGTGGGAAAAGGCACTCAGAATTTAAGTTTTCTGGAGTACGGATGATCAACTCCGGCGTTATTCAGACATGCACCGAAGCGGCACTCCTTTCATAGAAATAGACCTAATCGTTTGAGAAACAGTATGCAGTGTGTACAGTAGACTTTCACGTTGTTGTGGCATTTCTGTCGGGGATGAATCCCATAAAACGCCCAAGTGGAAAAGGCATAGTGAATCTGCCCGCAGCAAATTTCAAGGCGTTAATTTTTTGACAATATGTGTTGCCGAAATAAATAATTCTGTCAAAAATCTGAGATATTTATCTTGATTGCATGATTTTTATTAATTAAAAAAAAACTTCTTTTTCAATTTTATTTTTTCTTTCCATTGTAAAAATGATTTCAAAAATGTCAATTTCAATGATTTCAAAGTACTCCAATTAATTCAGCACTGGAGGTGGAAATAATTCCCGAACGAACAAAATAAATACCGTTTTTTCAGAAAAATATACTGAACAAAATAAGCGAATTTCATATCTCTCACTTGGACAGAACACATTTTTAGTTAATTACACACTATCGCTCATCGGTGCACGACAAGTAATACCATACACGGTTTCGTTCGCATTGAGGAAAACGAGATGAAATAAATATCATTTTGTAAAGAAAAAAATTCTTCACACAATCGAGGTAAGAAGTACTAAACTACGGGTTGTTAATTTTTGGAAATTAATTCTCAAAAGTCCGTTAACGCGTACAGTCCTTAACGATCGACATGATCCACCCCACGAAAATTATGGCGAAACAAGAGAATCTCATCTTGTTCCAAAGTAGTTATGTTCCTCTGTATTAATTTGGGCAGGATAGGACAGGGATGAATTCAACAACTTACTTATTTCAGATATTCAGATAATACATTGCAGTGAAAACATAATTATTTTTACAATATATAATTTTTAATAAAAACATCACGACATTTTGCGTGGACGAAAAACATTCTTAAAAATAAATTTTGTAAGTGACCGAGGAAATTCTACCGCTCTGGCCCGTTGGATAATCACTCAATTGAAGCATAAGCTATATCCAATTCCTGTAGAGTCCATCCAGATGCAAGTGATTGGCTATCATATAGAACATAAACAAAAGGAAACACATCCGGAAGGCCGGATGGAGGGAATTTTTTACCGAATGGCGATTTTACGTCCTCCCACTTTGCGGTCAAAGCAAGCAGCTTGATCTCAAGCCCAAACCTATCGGTAATAGCGGAAATCGCTAGAAACCAGGTCGACATTGAACAGTGGGGCTTGAGAGGGCTCTCCAAAAAATTTTTCATCTGTTTTTTATGTTAAATGAAAAATTTATGGGATAATTCCATTGTTAGCGGGGCTGAGAGAGTTTTATCTGTACGGGACAAAAAAAAATCGTGTGCAAATTTATGTTTGAATGGTAGAGAATTGTCTGAAATATCCAAATTGGGCGTTCCCTCGAAAATATTTTTTTGCAACTGTAGTTGGCATGCTTCATTGTTATTAACAAATATAGAAATTGTTAAATAATAGGGGGAAACATTGTTTTGTAAATTTAGACTGAATCGATTCGCAATAATGTAAAATGCCGAAAATTATTAGTCCATCCAAAACTTTTTTTGGAAAGGCTTCATCTTAACAAATTAAAAAATCGGTAATCAATTAGGGAAAAAATTGTGGCACATTAAATTTCAATTTAAATTCGGCTCAGCTGACTGAAAATAGTGTCGAACGTCGAGATTTGTTGGACCCTTGGAGTTATAAAATTCAATCCTATTATTCCAACGTCAATACCTGATTTCCAAGAGGGTAGGCAGGAGCAAAAGAAAAGTCTCTACACGTATATATAATAATTAAAATATTATAAATAATTATATAATAAATAAAAATATAATAAATATAATATAATAAATAAAAATAATAAATTAAAATATTAAAATATTATAAATAATTATATAATAATTAAATAATTATAATAAAAAAAACATTATGTAATAATGTAATTATATAGAATTTGACAGGTGCAGATTGACTCAGTATCACGTCGGAGTCGATCTGTACCTGTCAAATTCAACCCCATTTTTCGAACCTTCACTACACCATTCCACAGGTTGGCCTGGTCGAAGGGAAGTAAAGAAAATGTCTCTAAATATGTTAATCGATTCAAGCGATGATTAGACGGAGTGACGAGGTCAAATGAGTGTAGTAGTGAAAAAAATGACGGATCGCAGGTAGACTGAGCGTGGCAGGTTGAAATGGGGGTTGACGGTTGGATGAATGTGTCTGGATAGAATGGGGGTGATGGTGTAATGACTGCATGGAAAAAACTGAGTGGTTGAGGGTGGGCTGAGTATGTCGGAGCAAAATCGGGGGTGATGATGGGCTCACTGCATGGGGAAAACTGAGAAGTTGAGGGCGAAATGAATGCATTGGGAAACAATGGGGGCTTGAGGGTCAGATGAGTATGTTAGGGTCTAGCGTGGGGTGATGGTGTAATGAGGGTATGGGGGAAAAGAAGGAGTTGAGGGTTGCTGACTGTGTCAGTGTCAAATGGAGACTGGTGGTGACGAGAGTGCATGGAAGAAACTGAGGGTTGCAAGATGGAATAAATTCATTGACAAAAATGAGATTTTGAGGGTGGTATGAGCAGATTGAAGTATCAGGGTGAAGTTGTGGTTGATGAAGGAATGAGTACATAGGAAAAATGATGGGTGACGATCGGATGAGTGACTCAGGGTAAATGGTGGTTGGAGGAGAGTTGAGTGCATCGGAAAAAATCGGAGTTTAAGGGAGGGATGAATGCGTCAGGGTGTAGTGGGGGTCGATGGTGAGATGAGTGAGTGAGCAACAATGAAGGGATGAGTGTGTTAGAGTCAAATGGGGATTGTTGATGAGATGAGTTTGTCAGGGGAAACTGGGGTTTGTTGATGACATATCTGCGTACAGAGTGGGATTAATTCATTGCCAAAAAATGGGGGTTGAGGATGGGGTGAATTCATGATGGAAAAATGAGAGCATACGAGAAATGATCTGTTCAAGGTGGGATGAGTGGGTCATTATGTTATGGAGGGTCATGGTAGGATGAGTACATGAAAAAAATAGGGGTTGAAGGACGGATGAGTGCATGATCAAGGGTTGTGGCTTGCATCAGTGTGTCAGGGTCAGGCGGAAGTTGATGGTGGGGTAGGTCCATGAAAAAAAATGACGGGTTGAGGCTGCCATGAGTGTGTCAGGGTGAAATAAGAGATTGAGGCTAGGATGAGTGTGTCAGGGTCAAATGGGGGTGGAGATTGGAAAGAGGATCAGACTCAAATGGGAGATTGAGCTTGGGATGGGTGTATTAGGGTGAGATGGCGGTTGAGGCCGGAATGAATATGTCAGGGTGGAATGAGCCTTAACGCTGCGATCAGTGTCAGGGTCTAATGAGGGTCAAGCTAGGATGAGTATGTTAGGGTGAAATGGTGCCTTGATGGTGGGATAAGTACAGGGGAAAAAATGAGGATTTGAGGTTGGGCTGAGTGTCTCAGGGTGAAGTGGAGGTTGACCATTACTCCAGTAACCATCTGTGTTTAAAATGGAGACAAATATGGGTGGCTTTTCACAAAAATTATCAATCGGGAAAATCCGGAAATGATCGTGACCCATCGGTCAACGGTCATCTCCAAACCATCAAAAGCACCATCACCCCCCTCAACGCACTCTGTTCGTATCAACCAGTGAACGCGATAACATATATGTCTAATCTGATCCTCACCGTAAACTAAACGAAACTCACCGAGTGAACGCACCTAAATATTCAACTGTTAATTCAACAAAATCACCTTGTACACTAATACATTCTACAATTAACTTAACATTTAACTTGTAGATCAACAAAAATCAACCTGTAAATTATTGTAAAAACCGCATTGAGATTGACCACGTGTTTTAGTAAATTAATAATCGTTGTGTGTGAGAATCTCCGCGAGTTAATACATTTTACA